TAAAGGCCAGCACCAACATTTTGATTTGTGCCCGGAAACGTACTGGGAGCCAGTGTAGGTCTTTCAAGACCGGTGTTATATGGTCTCGGCGGCAGCTCCCAGTCACCAGTCTAGCTGCCGCATTCTGGATTAGTTGTAGTTTCTGGGTCCCCTTCAAAGGTAGCCCCACTTAGAGCGCATTGTAGTAGTCCAAGCGAGAGATAACCAGAGCATGAACCACTCTGAAGAGACAGTCTGCGGGCAGGTAGGGTCTCAGTCTGTGTACCAGGTGGAGCTGGTAAACAGCTGCCTGGGACACAGAACTGACCTGCGCCTCCATGGACAGCTGTGAGTCCAGAATGACTCCCAGGCCGCACACCTGGTCCTTCAGGGGCACAGTTACCCCATTCAGGACCAGGGAGTCCTCCACACCCGCCTGTCCCCCAGGCCACTTTCCTCCCTTTACAAAACCCCAAAATGTTAAAGGGCATTGAGGTTAGTAGATCAGTCACTTTCTTAATCGTATTACGTCATCCAGAGGGGGCAAAGCCCAAGAAATGAAATTGAAAACAGGTTCTGGGGCAGAGCTTGGCCTCTTGTAATCCTCGAGTACGGCGCCTGGTGCGTAATCAGTTCCCACAGATCTGCCAGAATCGCTTCCATGCTGCATCTTTTGGGAATTTCTCAAATGTAAACGCACACCCCTAGAGATGATTCATCGCCTGCCTGTCCCATAATTTCCCAACAGCCTCAGAGAGCTGCTCGGCTGGTCTGAACAGATACAAAAGCCTGGAAGTGGTGCTTAGTCGAAGCCCTAGGAAGGAAAGGGTGGTTGTATGTATTCGGGGGGTGGGGGTGGGCGTGTGCTGCTGCTGCTTTCCATTTCTTCCCTGACTGGCAGGGAGAGACCAACATTTCATTGCCCATCTTTGCATTTCTGTTTCCAATCCGGTTTTCTTCCGACACACATCCATGACACAGCCAAACTCAACAGTCATTGTACTGTAAGGTGACTCACTATCTTCTAATATTTGCTTGTGGCGACGGCCACATTTAGGGGTGGTAGTGAACTTTGGTGTGTGTCCTTTTTCTGCATAGCGTGGTTTGGCTCGCTTTCTTTTCATTGATGTTATTAAGATTTTATGGAAGCTTTTTCATGATACAGTAAGATAAAAGAAATCAATCTAAATAAAAACAAAAGCAGAGAGAGGGAGAAGGAAATGCAGAGCCCTCTGCCTTAAGCCTTGTCTCACACAGAAGGTGGGGGACCCTTCCAGCTCTCACCTGAGGTGAGGCCTGTCCATTCTTCTCTCAGTCTCACCCGAAAGGTTGTCTCTGCCCTGGGTCTAACCCACCCACCACCTTCATGTGTGTGTAATCCTTGGAACTCAAAAATGGCCCAGAGCAGAGGACACCAAAAGAAAACAGCGGGGGGGGGGGGAGAGAGAATCATAGAATCATAGAGTTGGAATGGCTAGAAGAAGAAAAGAGAAGAGAAAAGAAAATAAGAAAAGAAAAGAATACTTCTGATTTTTCCTTGCTTTCATGAGCCACCTGAAGGTATTTTGGCATAGGAATCATCTTGCTGGATCAGCACAAGATCCATTCAGCCCAGAATCAATTCAGTGGACACTCAGTTAGTTACGACTAGGAAACTGAGATAGTGATGTACAGAACTAAGAGCAGGACCATAAAGAAGGCTGATTGCCAAAGAACTGATGCTTTTGAATTATGGTGCTGGAGGAGACTCCTGAGAGTCCCATGGACTGCAAGAAGATCAAACCTCTCCATTCTGAAGGAAATCAGCCCTGACTGCTCACTGGAAGGACAGATCCTGAAGCTGAGGCTCCAGTACTTTGGCCACCTCATGAGAAGAGAAGACTCCCTGGAAAAGACCCTGATGTTGGGAAAGATGGAGGGCACAAGGAGAAGGGGACGACAGAGGACGAGATGGTTGGACAGTGTTCTCGAAGCTACCAGCATGAGTTTGACCAAACTGCGGGAGGCAGTGGAAGACAGGAGTGCCTGGCGTGCTCTGGTCCATGAGGTCACGAAGAGTCGGACACGACTAAATGACTAAACAACAACAACAGGAAACTGAGAAGCAGTTGGAGGGAATGTTCTTCCCCTGTGGTCTGTGGCATCTTTGAGTAGGGTGGGATGTGTTGGGCCTGCCTTTCTACAGATGTGTTTTCTGGTTCTTATTCCACTTTGGTTTTCATAGCTGGCTTTAAGTTTGGTACATCTGGGGTACTTTTGTGGAAAGAGCAACAAGTCCTACCTTCTAGGAGTAGGAGAATACAAGCTTGCTCCACCTTCCATGTGCAGCCTGTGAGATATTTCAAGATGGCTGTTGTCCCGCAGGAAACACAAACCCTGGGTTAAAGCTTGCCTGCAACCCTCGGGCGCCGCTCAGAGATAAGGATGGCATGTAACACCGGGATTCCCCTGTCCTTAGCAGCGCCACCCGTGAACTCGGCGACCTCACCTCTGGCACCTGACTCAGATAATGTACCAATGTCAAAAAGTGCTCCATGCGCATGGGATTGGGATTTTCAGCGTAATATCCAGTTTGCACAATGAAATATGCTTCTGGGGGACGTGTGGGTCCCATGAACACAGACGTTTCTTTCTTCCATTATCTGCCAATAGGAATTATGTTGGCCCGCCCCATTCTGTCCTTCTGTGGGGTGAATGGATGAAGGAATTGCCATGTATGCCAACCTTGAGCTTTTTAGGGGAAAGGTAAGAAACAATGACAGTGTCCCCCACTCATTCTCAAAGAAATGCCATTTTAAAGACCATGTTTCCTTGGTCTAAGTCACCCACCCAAAGCTGCTGTTATATATTTTACCTCTTACATCTTTCCCTAACTCTTCTGCCAACGAGCTCAGGGGGTGCCCTCAAGATGCTTTTGGACTGCAACTTCCATCAGCATCAGGAGGTGTGAAAGTGCCCTGGCCTTTACAGGCTACGTAGATGCCAGTAGCCTGAAACACATCAAGGTCGTGTCTGTACTGCAGTACACACCAGAGAGGGGGATGTCTTCACCTGATGTAGGTAGGTAGCCGTGTTGCTCTGACGCAGTCAAAATATATAAAAAAATGTATCTGAAGTGTATCTGAAGAAGTGTGCATGCACACGAAAACTTATACCAAAAACAAACTTAGTTGGTCTCTACAACTGATTGGTTCAAAATTAGGAAAGGAGTATGACAAGGCTGTATATTGTCTCCCTGCTTATTTAACTTATATGCAGAATTCATCATGCGAAAGGCTGGGCTGGATGAATCCCAAGCCGGAATTAAGATTGCCGGAAGAAATATCAACAACCTCAGATATGCAGACGACACAACCTTGATGTGAGAAAGTGAGAAAGTGAGGAGGAATTAAAGAACCTTTTAATGAAGGTGAAAGAGGAGAGCGCAAAATATGTCTGAAGCTCAACATCAAAAAAACGAAGATCAAGGCCACTGGGCCCATCACCTCCTGGCAACTAGACGGGGAAGAAATGGAGGCAGTGAGATTTTACTTTCTTGGGCTCCATGATCACTGCAGATGGTGACAGCAGTCACGAAATTAAAAGACGCCTGCTTCTTGGGAGAAAAGCCATGACAAACCTAGACAGCAGCATCTTAAAAAGCAGAGACATCACCTTGCCAACAAAGGTCTGTATAGTTAAAGCTATGGTTTTCCCAGTAGTGATGTATGGAAGTGAAAGCTGGACCAAAAAGAAGGCTGATCGCCGAAGAATTGATGCTTTTGAATTATGGTGCTGGAGGAGACTCTTGAGAGTCCCATGGACTGCAAGAAGATCAAACCTCTCCATTCTGCAGGAAATCAGCCCTGAGTGCTCACTGCAAGGACAGATCCTGAAGCTGAGGCTCCAATACTTTGGCCACCTCATGAGAAGAGAAGACTCCGTGGAAAAGACCCTGATGTTGGGAAAGATCAGCACAAGGAGAAGGGGACGACAGAGGACGAGATGGTTGGACAGTGTTTTTGAAGCTACCAGCATGAGTTTGACCAAACTGTGGGAGGCAGTGGAAGACAGGAGTGCCTGGTGTGCTCTGGTCCAGGGGGTCACGAAGAGTCGGACACGACTAAACAACAACAGTCACTTACAGGCTCACTTTTAAAACTGTGTTTATGGAAGACAATCTTACTTAGCTACAAGTGATCGCCAAAGAAGAAGAATATCTTTCAGAATGGAAATTGTCATTACAGTGGTACCTCGGGTAAAGTACTTAATTCGTTCCGGAGGTCCGTTCTTAACCTGAAACTGTTCTTAACCTGAAGCAGCACTTTAGCTAATGCGGCCTCCTGCTGCTGCTGCGCCGCCGGAGCACGATTTCTGTTCTTATCCTGAAGCAAAGTTCTTAACCTGCAGAACTATTTCTGGGTTAGTGGAGTCTGTAACCTGAAGCGTATGTAACCCGAGGTACCACTGTATTATTATTAAAAGGACATCGTGCAGTGTGTGAGTGTGCTTTAAATCTTTGTATGACACTGTAAATCCTTCAAGCACCATATAACACTATCCCCTAAGCTCACGATGCTGAGGCAGGTTAAGCAAGAGAGGGGCGCCCGCCTGCATTTCTGGAAAGGCACCAGCTGCTCTCCTCACGGTTTTCCTTTCTTTTTTCAAAGCGCTGTCCCTTCCCGTAACAAATAATAATAATAACAACAACAGTATTCCCCTGCGCAATTTCTCCTCACGCCGGCCCAGTGTGCCTTTTCCCCCTCTCTCCCCAGCCCCTTGCGTTTTCGCAATCCCTTCCCGCGCTTTCCCTCCCCTCAGCCTCAACTCTCCTCACTGGCATTTCCCGCGCCGAGCCCGCCGGGGCCCGGCTCTCCTGGTGGCGCGCGCGCGCACGCACAGAACTGCGTCACCCCGTTGACCCGCAGCTGGCACGTTCGGGGAGAATCTCTGATGACTCAGCGGCAGGATTCCCTCGCGCGCCCTTCTCTGACTCACGCCCGTCCCGTCCCATAAAAGCCTCGCGCCGGCTGCTGCCTGCCAGACTCATTTTTCCCCCTTCCTCTCCTGGTCGCTTTTCGTGTGGATCTTATTTTCTCTCTCTCGGGACTGAAGGTAGAGCGAAGCCCACGTTGGCAAGGATGGGAAAGCAGCGGGGCTCCGTGATGCCCGTGGATCTGATGGGCAACGCCGGGTTGCTCTGCCAGGCGTGCGGGTTCCTCCTTTGCAACCCACAGCAAGCCGAGTGTGGGCACCGCTACTGCAGGGGATGCGTGAAGAGGCTGTTCAGGTCAGTGGCAAAAAAAAAGTGCTCCCGGGCTGTTTAAAGGCGATTCCCATGATTCGCGATTCCCCCTCTCCATGATGTTGCTAGACTACAGGTCCCATCATCCGTGATCATCTGTCATGCTCATGGGAGTTGGAGTCCCCTAATCGTAGCTGGAGGGACGCGGGTGGCGCTATGGGTTAAACCACAGAGCCTAGGACTTTGCGATCAGAAGGTCGGCAGTTCGAATCCCCGCGATGGGCTGAGCTCCCGTTGCTCGGTCCCTGCTCCTGCCCACCTAGCAGTTCAAAAGCACGTCAAAGTGCAAGTAGATCAATAGGTACCGCTCCGGCGGGAAGGTAAACGGCGTTTCCGTGCGCTGCTCTGGTTCGCCAGAAGCGGCTTAGTCATGCTGGCCACATGACCCGGAAGCTGTACGCCGGCTTCCTCGGCCAATAAAGCGAGATGAGCACCGCAGCCACAGCGTCGGTCACGACTGGACCTAATGGTCGGGAGTCCCTTTACCTTTATGTTTAATCATAGCTGGAGGATTCTCAGATGTTAGGGTCACCTTTCCAGGATTTGCAGGGCTTAGAATAACAGAATCGTGGAGTTGGAAGGGACCCTGAGGGGCATCATCTAGTCCAGGCTTCCTCAACCTCGGCCCTCCAGATGTTTTGAGACAACAATTCCCATCATCCCTGCTAGCTAGGCCAAAAACATCTGGAGGGCCGAGGTTGAGGAAGCCTGATCTAGTCCATCCTGTAGTAAGGCAGAGATCTTTTCCGCAAGGTGGGGCTCAAACCTTTGACCCTGAGATTAAGAGTCTCACGCTCTACTGACTGAGCTATAACTACAGTCATTGGCATTTAATTGGCAAGCCAGATCAGCTTCCTTCATCTTATAGGGTTAGCTGGATAAATCAATCTCCTATCTTCTTGCCTGCCTTCTGGTTATGATGGGCATATAGAAACTGCCCCAATACCAGCTGTGGGGGAGCACCAGTGGGAGGGGGCTGCTGCCTTCCTGCCTCTTTTTGTGTGGGTCTCTGAAGCATCTGATAGGCCGCTCTGGGAAATCAAAGGCAATGGACCCTTGGCCTGACCCTGTCTTGTGTTTTGTATTTCCTGGGAACGACGCATCCACTTTTATTGGACTTAGTGTTTTTAGGCTGCAACCCGTTAATTGGTCGGGGGCCAACGACAGATTTGTGATGCGTTCTAGAAACGTAATTTAAAAAGAAGACTCACTTTGTTTCTTTTAATAGGGTGTGAGAGTCAGGTTTCTCTCCAGTTTGCAATATTTCAGCTTGCTTTTCTGTTTTCTCAGGGAGGGGGGCTGGATGCCAAGCCGTGTTGGCACAGCTGCGTTTATTCCTCGAGCACCTCAAATGTTGTTGTTGTTGTCATATTCTGATTCAGCTGTGCTTGTGCGTAAGCAAGATGTTGACGCATGGTAGTCTAGGGGGCCTGTGGCTCTTGAATTATGCTGGTGGCAGGTGATGGCTTGCAGCTTTTGTAAATCTGAGCTGCGCTAAAGCGTCTTGGGGAGCTGATTCCACTCTTCAGTGTCCACGAGAGCTTCTGAGCCCTCTGTCCTTATGCACCCCACTTCATCTCCTGGAAAACTGTTCCCCAAAGGCGCCGGATATGCTTAAGACGGCCCTGAGCGTAGTTGGTGATCTTGAGCCACTCAGTTCAGCCGTAACTATCTCACATAATTGTTGCGGGTATAAAAGAGGGGCCCAGATAGAGAACCATTACGCACGCTGCCCTGAGCTTCAGGGACAAGTGCAATATATAATTGTGACAAATGAGTATAATGCACGGTATCCGCAATACTAATGACTTAACCAATGGATGGCATTAATCTCGATGATGAACGGCTGCTTCGCATATGTGGGGAGGAAGAATAAGTTAGCAAAGGACACAAGGAAGAGAAGATGGAAGTAGTTATGTTTCAAATGCATCAAATAAGTGTTTCTTTTATTTTCAGTTGGGTTTTTTTCATGCAGATGTGTTTTATTAATTATTATTAATTATTGAATTTATATACCGCCCTATACCCTATTCCCTGGCAGGAAGGGTGGCATGTATATTTAATGAATAGAATTTGGAGGGTGTGTGTGTATGTATGAAAGAGAGAGAGAAAGAGATTCAAAATGTAGTTTTCAGAGGGGGTAGCCCAAGTTAGTAGTGCCTTGCAGGAAAAGAGGCTGGTGGTGCCTTTAAAGAATAGAAAATTTATTACGACATAACCTTATTGTGGGTTACGCCCCCTTTCTGTTTCTCAGGGTTCATCCTGCTCAATTTTCTGTCCTCTTTCTTTCCACAGGGACACAGACAGGGTGGCCTGCCGGACTTGTAAGAAGGGACTGAGCCCCAAACAGGTGAGTTGTAGTAACATGATGTTCTGGAACAAGAGGCATTTGGGTTTTCCTGGGCTTTTGGTTCTTAAAGTGATATGTTGTTGTTGTTGTTGTTGCCATCTTGGCAAATCCCAGTCAGTCACTTTTGGACTCTCTTTTGCGGAAAGCAACGAACAAATTTAACAAGAAGAAAATGATAATAAGACCAGTCAGTCTCAGCCCCAAATAGCAAGAAACCCATAAATGAATGGTCACTAAATTCCCTCTCACTAAATTCACTAAATTCCCTCTAAGAGCCAAGGCATGGTTCGGGTATGGATGTTACCTGCCGCTGCCCTGTGATCAACCTCATCCCCTAGCATGGGTCCCACCTGTGTCGCCATCCTCTTTTAAAAACAGGAACTAAAGAGAAACACAAGATATAGAAAGGGAGAAAATGAGAGAGAGGTGTGTGATGAAATTCAGAAGAGCTCCATAAGTAGAAAAGCTGAGAGGGTTTATTTAAAGAATCTGTTGCACTCCCTTCGCTGCTGCTTGACAACCTACTCCTTTCAGCATTTTCTCATTTTCTGTATGACTATGAAGGCCAGAAATCTTGCCCTCCTGTCTACTAGGAACATGGTACATAGACAGCAAAACAGAAACAGAAACAGAAAAACAGGGGGGGAAACACCTGTCGTCCCTTTGGAGTTAAGGGTGAATCCTGGGTTCAAAAGAGTTCACAACTGTCGCCCTAGAGAGGGAGGTGGGGATCACTGTTTGCGGTGCCTGCTTTTCAGCACTGACCATGCACTTTGCCATAATTTGAGGGCGATACGTTTAAGGCAGACTTTGCCAACCTGGTGCCCACCTGGTCTGCAGGGGCTGATGGGAGTTGTAGTTTGAAACGTCAGTCAGGCACCTGGTCAGCAAAGGATGGTTAGAGGTAATGTGGACAGTGGTACTTCTGCATGTGAACAGGATCCGTTCCGGAGCCCCGTTTGCATCCTGAACCAAATGCAACCCGCATCTGTGCAGGCCACAATTCGCCGCTTCTGCGCATGCATGTGACGTTGTTTTGAGCATCTGCGCATGCGCAAGCGGCGAAACCCGGAAGTAACGTGTTCGATTACTTCCGGGTCGCTGCGGAGTGTAACCTGAAAACGCTCAACCTGAAGCATATTTAACCCGAGGTATGACTGTAGTGAGGTATGACATGGGTGGTGCTGCGGGTTAAACCACAGAGCCTAGGGCTTGCAGATCAGAAGGTTGGCGGTTCGAATCCCCGCAACAGGGTGAGCTCCCGTTGCTCGGTCCCTGCTCCTGCCAACCTAGCAGTTCGAAAGCACGTCAAAGTGCAAGTAGATAAATAGGCACCACTCCGGCGGGAAGGTAAACGGCGTTTCCGTGCACTGCTCTGGTTCACCAGAAGTGGCTTAGTCATGCTGGCCCCATGACCCGGAAGCTGTTTGCCGGCTCCCTCGGCCAATAAAGCGAGATGAGCGCCGCAACCCCAGAGTCGTCCTCGACTGGACCTAATGGCCTTTACCTTTTTTTTATGACTGTAGTGTATTGGTAGAGGTAACCGTGACGGGTCAGAATCGGCGACCAACATATTGACTCCTTCTTTTCTCTCTCTCTCTCTCTCTCTCTCCAGTTCCACACTGACAAAGCAGCAGAGAACGACGCTCTAGCCACACAAGTTGCCTGCCCGAATTTTGACTGTGCTTGGACGGGGACCCTGAAATCGTACCAGGTACAGTGGTTTTAAATGAAGAGAATCGCTTCCCTCTCCCTGCCGATACGCAGTGCACACGACCAGGGATGAAACGGGAGCCCAAAGCTCTTAGGGTGCCCTCTTGTGGCAATTGCAGGCATTTGACAAAACACATGCAAAACAGTTGGAGGAAACTGCGACTGGAGGAAAAGGAAAAAGAAGTCCATAGATGAGTTGCTCTAATATTATTGATCTGACTCTTCCTTCTGCGATCCTGTTCAGGGTTCTAGCCAGCCAGTCGCTCCAGTGTTCCATTTTTTTCTTTTGCAGCTTGCTGTTCTGTTATGTTGTGAACGGCCCTGAGACCTCCAGTATACAAATTTAATAAAAGCAAGCAAACAAATAATTCTGTGGCAACTGAGCACATTCAGTACTTCCTTATTTATTTATTTTGTAAAACCTCAGGATTCTCCCACAGTGGGGCCGTTCTGAGTCCATTTCTGTCGGCAGCACTCGCCACCTAAGTTTGCTTTTAGGGGGAGGTGATAAGAATAATTTTGATCAGTTTTCCTAATTGAAAATTAATTAAAAAAAAATATTTATTTTTTAAAAAGAATAATTATGATCAGTTCAATTGGGACTCCAGTAAAACAATAGGCTGCAAACTGAATAAATCATGGGCAGGCAAACTAAGGCCCCGGGCCAGATCCGGCCCAACTGCCTTCTAAATCCGACCTGCGGACGGTCTGGGAATCAGTGTGTTTTTACATAAGTAGAATGTGCCCTTTTATTTAAAATGCCTCTCTGGGTTATTTGTGGGGCTTGCCTGGTGTTTTTACATGAGTAGAATGTGTGCCTTTATTTAAAATGCATCTCTGGGTTATTTGTGGGGCATAGGAATTTGTTCAATTTCCCCCCCAAAATATAGTCCGGCCCGCTACATGGTCTGAGGGACAGTGGACTGGCCCCCTGCTGAAAAAGTTTGCTGACCCCTGGAATAAATGAAAAACAACAATAATTTGCATTAGTAAGACAATGATAATAAAGCAGAGTTAGGAATTCCTAAAAGGCATGTCTTACCACCCTCATCAAAATGCTGTTCCCAACAACAGAATGTGATACAAAGCCAGTATGTTTTGTAGCATAGAGATATGCCCTTTGAAGGCTTCAGAACATGAGGTAATCCTGTAGTCAGCAGCAAACAACCTTTGCTCATTTTCCTGGCCTTGTTCTTTTGCTTTAGGAGCACGCTTGCCCCCCTGTGGCCCAGCCCGGAACCCCAAAGAAGGGTCCCCTGGCCCTTGGAGATCAAAGCGTTGAGGAGATAGAACCCTGCTGGAGTGTCAATAGCACAGTCATGGTAAGTCACCTCAAGAGAACCTGCATTGCGAGGGTATAGAAACCAAGCTCAGGGCCCGTTGTGGGCCTGCGCCCAGAAATGGAGCAATATGCCCTGGTGGGAACCCCTCCGTTTAAACCCTCTCCTCTCTCCCTCCCTAGGGTGGCCCTTCCATGAACGTGGAAGCCGTCCAAATGCGGATGGAGGCGTTGGAGCTGACGGTGGCGTCTCTGCGCCGACAGCTGAACAGCCAGACGGCTGCAGTGAAGTCCCTCCAGCGCTGCTGCTCCCACTACGAGAAGCTCTTGAGGGCCTCTCAGGAAGTATGCGCCATGGCGAAAGCGTCTGGAGAACCAGCGTCCCCGGAGCTGGCCAGCACCGACGGGACCTTGGTGTGGAAGGTGGAGAACTTCTCCAAACTCCAGAAGGATGCCAAAGCTGGGAAGAAGCGTTCCATCTACTCCCCGGCCTTTGCCACTCATCCGTTCGGGTACCATCTCTGCGTCCGGCTCTACCCCGACGGAGATGGCATTGGCCAGGGCGGCCATGTCTCGCTTTTCCTCGCCTTGGCCAAGGGGCCCTACGACGACGTCCTGCCCTGGCCTTTCCGGCAGAAGGTCACCTTCTCCCTCTTGGACCCCACGCGGAGGAAGTCCCCCGTGATGGATACCTTCCTCCCGGATCCCCACAGCGTCTCCTTCCACCAGCCGCGGCAGAGGCTCAACGTGGCCAGCGGGAGTCCCCTCTTCGTCAGCCATCTTGAGATTCCTGGTTACCTCAAAGACGACACGCTCTACCTCAAAGTAGTGGTGGATAATGCAGGGATGGAAATCTGAGGACGGGAGACACTGGGGCAAGAGAACAGGGTTATTCTCTGTTCTCTCAGTCACACTTTTGTGGTTTTTCGCTTCTCCCAAAGGCCTTTTAACTATTTTTGAAGCTCTCCACCTCTTGTCATCAAATCCCTGCCCCTTTCTCCACACCACCAATTATGTCTGCTATAATTCCCATTCTGAAATGGGCAGTGAACTACCTCTCTAGGAAACCTAAATCTTCACATAATAGTGCTGTGGATTGTGCAATATCCATCCCTCATCCAAACTCGGGTGGAATTTTTTAGGCTTTGTGATTTTTTCTCCCTACTTCTTAAGAGTTGCTGAAAGTGGTGGAGTGCCTGGACTGGCCTTTCAGAGGTCTTGAGCGTGGTATTCTGTAACACAAACACTGACCACTGGGTACCATCGATTGCGTAATTTATTCAAGTTGCAGAATTGGAGTTTTCATACTCGGCTGCTTCGAATCTTTTAAAAATGCAATTCACTGGAAAAGACACAGAAGGCCTGAAGATTTTCTTTCGATGCCTCATCGCAATGCCATCCCACTCTGCAGATTGTGAGTGATTGGGGAGCTGCAAATTTAGAATTTGTTACTGCTGTGGAGTTTGCTGTGTATGTTTGTGTTTTCCTGCTGCAGCTCAGCAGGCTACAGTTGAAAGTGATGTTTTGAAATATTATATATTTGTATTTATTGTTAATCAGTTCTACTGCACTTTTTAAAGACAAGGGGAATTTGCAATAACATGACAGGTTTTTTTCTACCTCGCTTACTTATTTATTGATGAGAATGTTGGTATTTATTATGGAAATTGAAATAGTAAACATTATTTATTCAACGGATGGCTGCTTATGCTGGTTTGTTGAGCGGGTGGGGGGAAATATGCCTAGTGAGGTAATAAGAGTAAATAATAATAATTTTCCCAACCTTCACTTACCGTCACAGGGTGGGACACAACAACATTAAAAACAGTTTTAAAACAACTTACAAACCCAGAAATTGTAGGGATTAACTACAACGTGAACCATATACTCCGTGGAGAAAAAGGTGGGATGTACATTCAATAGGAAAGCTCTTTAAGGGACGCGGGTGGCGCTGTGGGTTAAACCACAGAGCCTAGGACTTGCCGATCAGAAGGTCGGCGGTTCAAATCCCTGCGACGGGGTGAGCTCCCGTTGCCCGGTTCCTGCTCCTGCCAACCTAGCAGGAAGGTAAACCCAGCAGGAAGGTAAATGGCATTTCCGTGCGCTGCTCTGGTTCGCCAGAAGCGGCTTAGTCATGCTGACCACATGACCCGGAAGCTGTATGCCAGCTCCCTCGGCCAATAAAGAGAGATGAGCGCCGCAACCCCAGAGTAGTCTGCGACTGGACCTAATGGTCAGGGGCCTCTTTACCTTTACAAAAGTATATATCTCAAGTGTCAAAAGCCAGGTTAAAGAGGTACGTCCTCAGCATTTGCCCAAAGCTGTATTGAATAACGAAGATACCAGATGCACCTCTGTTTGCATACCAGGGCAGTGAGGCAAACTCCGAGGAGACAGCAGTGCTCTCTGAAACCCATTAATCAGGGGTCAGCAAACTTTTTCAGCAGGGGGCCGGTCCACTGTCCCTCAGATCTTGTGGGGGGCCAGAGTATATTTTGAAGGAAAGAAATGAACGAATTCCTATGCCCCACAAATAACCCAGAGATGCATTTTAAATAAAAGCACACATTCTACTCATGTAAAAACATGCTGATTCCCAGACTGTCCGCGGGCCGGATTTAGAAGGCGATTGGGCTTGTTTGGTTGAAGGGCATTCTCAGAAAAATGGCCACATATGGCCTCTCCCCAGAGTATTTATTAAGTTTAGAAAGGGGAAGGGCCAAGAACATAATCAAAGAAAGACTCAGGGACATTGAAACCCAAAATGACTTTAACCAGCTTCCGATAACTTATAAACTTCTATACAATTCCCAAAGGCCCCATCTAGCAAACTATCTCAAAGTTCTAGACAACGCTAAACACCGATGGGCATTTTCCAGGGCCCGCTTTAACACTCTCCCTTCAGCTCTTCTAGAGGGAAGATACAATAAAATACCGATCAAACAAAGATTATGTCCCTGTAACAGCAATGAAATCGAAACCATTGGGCATGTCATCTTATACTGCCCATTATATCGAGACTCAAGAAAAGAGCTGATCGAACCGATTCTGAGGAAAATACCTCATAGTACAGACGACACCTATATCAGACACCTCTTAGCTGACAAAGAGCCCGAAATTAACAGGTCCGTGGCAAAGTACTGTTACATTGCAACAAGAATAAGACGAGCAATGATGTCTACAAAGGAGTTCAAACTATAAACATCGAAGGAACGATAATAAACAGTAGCGACTCCTGAACTGAATTTTAAAAACTTAAAACTCGAAACCTGGTCATAAATATAAGCACCAATTCTGTGAATTGGCCATATTTTTACTGTTACTTGTAGCACAATACTACTCTTAATGTCATATTTTATAAATTGCTTCCTGGTCATTGACCGTATTAAAGATATTTGATTTGATTTGATTTGAAGGCGATTGGGCTGGATCCAGCTCCCGGGCTTTAGGTTGCCTACCCCTGCCATTAATCTTCCACCTGCAGCTATGGCAACTCCACAATGTCCTGGACCACAGAGCCTCCTGGAGGCCACCGCTTGTTTCCATGGCCAGACATATGCAATGTTAGCGTTGTTGGCATCCGTCTGCCTTGAGAGACAAGGGAGCGCACCTCCAGGGGTGAAGTCAGACCACTGTGTCTCAAGGACCAAAGTGGCGTCCCTGGGGCGCAAGCCTGGGCAGTGTGTTAGGAGGTCCTGGACTACCCAGACGACCCCCTTCTCAGCCTCACTGTTATACACTGGCTGGATGCAGAGGAATGTGGGGGGGGGGGAGAGAGGCACTGTCAGGAGTTCAGCCTATACTCGAGTAGGACCCTGGCAGAGACACATGCCCGACTGGCATGTTCTCTCCCTCTTGGTCGATCGGGAGCTTCATAAGCTTTCTTCTGCCCGAACATCACAGCGACCAATGCCAACTGACACCAGCATACTTAGGGATCCGCAGAGGTTGCGCACCTTGCATGACAGACCTCAGCAACTCAGCATTTTGGCTAATCTACTTTATTTACATATAAACACACACAGAGTACTGCAACATGGCTCCTTCTCTCTCTAGCATCAGAGAGAAAGAACAAAGGACAATAGTCCCACAGTAACACAAACATCTTGTCTCCGTCACTTCCCACTCTGTGGAGTCAAAACATACACCGTCATGTGATAGACAAAAATCCCATGACTGCAATCATGGAGCAGGAATTCTAACAGGCACCAGCTGGGAAATGCCCCAGGGAAAGAAGGCTCAGAGCCAGGGGATTGGTGGTGGGACGATGACGTATGGTCAGAGGGAGAAGAGGGAGGAGACCAGGAGAAGGAGGTGTCAGAAGCTGAAGAAGAGGCAACAGGTTTTAGTGAACAGGAAGAGGCGGTGGCAGAGGGCAGTCCAGATTCAGAGGCAGGAGCGGAAGGGGACAGAAGGCAGAGATGAGGCAGGCTGCTGAAGAAGCCTGGGAGTCATCTCCTCCTGCTGTTGCGACCAGCTCCCCTCTCACCTGGTCTCCCAGAACATGCAGAGCAATGAAGAGAACGGAGCAAAGAGAGACAAGACGAAGGAGCCTCAGAATGTTTGGGAAGGACCCCGGGGGGGAGGAGTCTTCGAGAGCAGTGGGAAGATGGCAACTGCTCATTGGGGCAAGACCTACTGGGAAGAGCTGCTATGATTCCTAGGCCTGGGCTTTTTTGGTTTCTTTGAATAAACAGTTAACTTCTTGGGCACCAGGTGTTTTGTTGCTGACCTGCTCCTAACTTCAGCTCCTGACACTTGCTGATGAGGCCCAAGGAAAGTGGAGCACCAGCTTCGCCGCAGGAGTTTTCCTTTTCTTAGATGGGCTACCTATATCTGTCTATCTACCAGTCGTATCTCTCCTTATCTGAGCTTACAGTGTTGTCTTCAACAGTGGAGGCAGAACACAGCCATATCCTCTATGAATTTGTCTTAATCCTTTTTTTAAAAAAGCCTTCCAACTTGGTGGGCATCATTACAACTTGTGGGAACAAATTACACAGTTTATGTGCAGTGTGAAGAAATAATTTCAGTTGTCCTTCCAACACTCCGGCTTCATTGGAAGTCTATGAGTTTTCGGATTATAGGAGAAGGAGAAAAACTCCCGATCATTTCCACACAGTACTTGATTTCTTACATGCTCCCCTTTAACACACCTTTGTTGGGAATCAGAAATATTCATCATGTACTGCATATCATCCAGTCATCTACCAGTAGCTCCTGGTCAATCTTTGGCCCACTCTGATGCAAATGACTGTTACAAATAGCCCCGGGCTGTTCTCTCTCTCTTTTTAAATAGTTTTTATTTGATTTTGCAAATATAAAATTATAACAATGCAACCATTCACATACACATTTGCAGATTCCTCCGAATCTCTGGACTTTCCACCTGCCCTCTGTGGGTACTATTATTAAACCTTTTCTACTGCATCTTTTCCAGTAATTTACATTTTATATAACACCATTGTCTTTGTAGTACTTGCTAGCTTACAAGTGTTACTGCAATCCTGCTAATGTTTCCATCTGCTTACAGTGGTCTCCAAGGTAAATTACAATTTTTTCCCATTCCTTATTAAAGTTTTGGTCTTCTTGGTTCCTGAGCTTTCCAGTCAGTTTTGCCATTTCATCATAGTCCAACAATTTAATTTGCCATTCTTCTCTGGTAGGGACTATCTTCTTTCCATCTCTGGGCTAATAGCATCTGTGTGGCTGTCGTCGCATAAGCGCTGGGCTGTTCTCAATAGCCTGCATCTGTAGTTTTGTTTCATGGCATGAGGTAAGTATTACCCACATTCCCCTAAATGCCTGCAGAATGGGCTGCCTTAAAGGCATAGGGGCAGGGGTCAGTGAAAAAGTTGGCACCTTTTCTATTCTGACCTTTAAAGCCCTAAACGGCCTTGGCCCACTATACCTGAAGGAGCGTCTCCACCCCCATCGTTCAGCCCAGACACTGAGGTCCAGCGCCAAGGGCCTTCTGGCGGTTCCCTCGCTGCGAGAAGCCAAGTTACAGGGAACCAGGCAGAGGGCCTTCTCGGTAGTGGCACCCGCCCTGTGGAACGCCCTCCCATCAGATGTCAAGGGAATAAACAACTATCTGACTTTTAGAAGACATCTGAAGGCAGCCCTGTTTAGGGAAGCTTTTAATGTTTAACAGACTATAGTAGTTTAATATTTTGTTGGAAGCCGCCCAGAGTGTTTCTCCGATGAAAATAGGGACACCCCATTCCATTTTACAATTTATACCCCACACATCTGACTGGGTTGCCCCAGCCGCTCTGGGTGGCTTCTAACATACCGTATTTTTCGCTCTATAAGATGCACCAGACCACAAGACGCACCTAGTTTTTGGAGGAGGAAAACAAGAAAAAAAATATTCTGAATCTCAGAAGCCAGAACAGCAAGAGGGATTGCTGCGCAGTGAAAGCTGCAATCCCTCTTGCTGTTCTGGCTTCTGGGATAGATGCGCAGCCTGCATTTGCTCCATAAGACGCACACACATTTCCCCTTACTTTTTAGGAGGGAAAAAGTGAGTCTTATAGAGCAAAAAATACGGTATATAAAAACATAATAAAACATTAAACATTAAAAAAGTTCCCTATACAGGTTTTCCGTCAGACAGCTCAGGGGTCAAAGAACTTCATACCCTCCTACATTTCTCCAATGAACATAGGGACATCCTAAGGAAAAGAGGGACATTCTAGGATCAAATTAAAAACTGGGATGGCTTCTCTAAATCTGGGACATCCCTGGAAAATAGGGACACTTGGAGGGTCTGTATTAAGTAATGTGTTGAATCTTCCTGACTTTTTGGACTCTCAGGATGCATTCCTGCAGGAGAAACTGTTCCTAACACCATGCACATCCTGTTTAATGCACTAGCACAGCCTTTGCCAACCTGGTGCCCTCCCACTAGGTCTTGCCAGGTTGAGGGAAGGTTACACTAGCAGAACCTATATAGCTTGATTCTGCTTGCTACTGTTTCCTGAAATGTGAGCAGTAGATTTTTTAAAGCATGGGGTGCAAACACCATCAATTTCCACCAGGGGGCAGGAGTGACTCCAGATTTAAAATACTGTAGAGATTTCTTCAAAACCAAAAATATTTACATATGTACACCAGGGGGCAGCAGCGACCAAGATTTAAATGCAAGAATCCTCTTTTACAAATGAACATAATATATGCAAATATGTATTCATACAAATAATCAGGGCCTTTGCCTATTAGATTTCCCCATTTCCACCACCCAGTGAATAAATCTGAAATACAAAATTGTGCATTTTATGAAGAGCAGCATTTATGGAAAATAAAACATTTACCCCACCCCAGTGAGTTGCAGAGCAAGCTGGAAAAGGTAACTTTGCTGGTTTGTATCTGAATTGGATTTGAAATTGTTTTAAAATATGGAACTGTTTCTAATGGTGTGGGGTTTTTTTTTTTAATATGATACAGTCGTACCTTGGTTTTCGAACAGAATGTGTTCGGCTTCTGAGGCAAAGTTCACAAACCGGAACACCTACGTCTGGGTTTGCGACGTTCGAATTCCAAGTTGTTTGTGAACTAAGCTGTTCGAAAACCAAGGTACGACTGGAGTTTTTCAGTGTCAGAAGCTGAAGAGGCAACAGAGTTTATTTAGTGAGCAAGAAGAGGCTGTATGTCCTGATCGCCTGGTCAGTGTGTCATGCCCAAGCAAAGTCCGAAACCCTAAGGAGAGCCTTCTTGGTAGTGGCACCCGCCCCGTGGAACAGGAAATGAGGTTCTGGGTTAATCCAAATCCAAAGTCAGGATGCAGTCCAGCATCAAGTACAGTCCCATTGAGGTCCAGGAGCATCCAAGTTGTGGTCCATCATCATGGGCAGCTGAGCAGATACAGCACCTGTTCAGGGAAGTTTTTAATGTGTGACATTTTAATGTACAGTGGTACCTCGGGTTAAGAACTTAATTCGTTCTGGAGGTCCGTTCTTAACCAGAAACTGTTCTTAACCTGAAGCACCACTTTAGCTCATGGGGCCTCCTGCTGCCGCCGCGTGATTTCTGTTCTCATCCTGAAGCAAAGTTCTTAACCTGAAGCACTATTTCTGGGTTAGCGGAGTCTGTAACCTGAAGCGTATGTAACCTGAGGTACCGCTGTATTTTTAATCTTTGTTGGGAGCCGCCCAGGGTGGCTGGAGAAACCCAGTCAGATGGGCAACATATAATTTTATTATTATTATTATTATTATTATTATTATTATTACTACTACGACTACTACTATTTCATAGAATCATAGAATCATAGAGTTGGAAGAGACCACAAGGGCCATCGAGTCCAACCCCCTGCCAAGCAGGAAACACCATCAGAGCACTCCTGACATATGGTTGTCAAGCCTCTGCTTAAAGACCTCCAAAGAAGGAGACTCCACCACACTCCTTGGCAGCAAATTCCACTGTCAAACAGCTCTTACTGTCAGGAAGTTCTTCCTAATGTTTAGGTGGAATCTTCTTTCTTGTAGTTTGGATCCATTGCTCCGTGTCCGCTTCTCTGGAGCAGCAGAAAACAACCTTTCTCCCTCCTCTATGTGACATCCTTTTATATATTTGAACATGGCTATCATATCACCCCTTAACCTCCTCTTCTCCAGGCTAAACATGCCCAGCTCCCTTAGCCGATCCTCATAAGGCATCGTTTCGTTTATTACAGTACTAGCACCAATTGCAATTTTGTAGGTGAGTTATATAACATCTATTCAAAACTGCGGGGTGTGGTGTCACCCGTGCCTTCACTATGCTTCCTTCTCCCTCTTAATCGGGGTCTGAAATCAGTGAACCTAGCAAACTGGATCTCAACTGAGAGAAAGTGGAAGCAGTGATGGGAGAACTGACTGAGAAAGAGGCATGGGGCACTTTGGAAAGCACTGTTGCTGCAGCAGCCTTGCTGAGTGGGTGGCTGAGGGAAGGCAAGCAAGCCAGGGCTCTTGTGTGCGTTTGTGTGTGTGTGACTTTGCTGCTTCCCTGCCCTTGCCTCCTGAGGCAGTTGCCACATTTTGCCTCATGAAAGAGCCGGCCTTGTGAGTCAGAGTGGACAGTGTTAATTCACAGGGCGGTTTGAGAAGCGCAACGACGTTTCACACTTTCCATCGTGACTCTGGCAAATTTCTCAGGGAGGTGTTAAAACACGTCTCCCCAATCTATACGAGTCTTCCTCGCATATTGTTACATGAATCTGGGAACAGGTTCATTGAATGACAAAGACTTGTAGGCCATTAAACGCATCCAGTAATTAGGATCGCTATTAGAATCGTTACTGCATTCATTTTGAGTTTAACTTATAGCATGGCTCCTGATGTTTGGATATTTTGAAAGTTTTATCACTTGTGCGTTTGACATCACTGGACTCCTTTGGGGAAAAGTGTGGGATATAAATTTATTATTATTATTATTATTATTATTATTTCATAGCCCCATTCAGAGGACAATCCAAACTAAAGATCCCCTGGGATGAATGACTTGGAATCCAGAAGATCTCTGACGCTGCTTTCCAAACTTTTCATGCTGGTGACACGCTTTTTAGACATGTGTCTTTTTGCGACACAGTAATTCAGTTTTACCAGCAAACCGGAGGTTAAACTAACCACTTTCTCGCCCCAGGAGGCGTGCGGGGAGCGTTCGCACGACACCCCTGCACACTGCAGCCGATACACTAATGTGTCGCGACACACAGTATGGAAAACTCTCTGCTACACCATTGTAAACGCCACAACCACCCATGGCATCAGTCTCTTAACCCTGCCTCACACTGAAAAACGGGTGTTCTGGGGAAGGGGAAGGAGCAGGAACAGGAACAGGGAGTGGTGGTTTACAGTGGTACCTCGGGTTAAGAACTTAATTCGTTCCGGAGGTCCATTCTTAACCTGAAACTGTTCTTAACCTGAGGTACCACTTTAGCTAATGGGGCCTCCCACTGCTGCCATGCCGCCGCCGCACGATTTCTGTTCCCATCCTGAGGTAAAGTTCTTAAGCTGAGGTACTATTTTTGGGTTAGCGGAGTCTGTAACCCGAAACGTCTGTAACCTGAGGTACCACTGTACTCTGGTTTGCAGCTCCATTCAGCTCTTTCATATGACCTGGCAACCAGAGGAACTTACACTGGCAAAAAAAGATGGCGTATGTTATAGGTCCCCCCCTCACTGCAGATGGTGACAGCAGTCATGAAATTAAAAGACGCCTGCTTCTTGGGAGAAAAGCAATGACAAACCTAGACAGCATCTTAAAAATCAGAGACATCACCTTGCCAACAAAGGTCCATATACGTAGTTAAAGCTATGGTTTTCCCAGTAGTGATGTATGGAAGTGAAAGCTGGACCATAAAGAAGGCCGATCGCCGAAGAATTGATGCTTTTGAATTATGGTGCTGGAGGAGACTTGAGAGTCCCATGGACTGCAAGAAGATCAAACCTCTCCATTCTGAAGGAAATCAGCCCTGAGTGCTCACTGGAAGGACAGATCGTGAAGCTGAGGCTCCAATACTTTGGCCACCTCATGAGAAGAGAAGACTCCCTGGACAAGACCCTGATGCTGGGAAAGATGGAGGGCACAAGGAGAAGGGGACGACAGAGGATGAGA